CTTGGTCTTCTCATGAAATACTGAATTTGATGCATAATGCCGATAAAATACAGAGTGATAAAATTACAGTGTTGGAACTTCCCAAACCAAGCTTGCAAAGACTGTTTCAGACCATAGAGTGACTTACGTAATCAACATACAAGGCTACTAAACTCCCCCTGAGCAACAACTTTAGGTGGTTGCTCCATATAGACTTCTTCACAATGCAGCGAACATTGTAAGTGCTCAAAATCTAGTATAAAGTACATGGTTCATGTTGGAATCAATAGACAGTCGATATTAAACAAGTCACCGAAAAATCTGGCCAGAACATGCTCATATGTCGGAGTATTAGATTTGATGGCTAAAAGTAGTCACAATCTAAGAAATAAAATTATATGGGTAGGGTCAGAATGATGTTACAACCCAACTAGAAAATAGAAATAATATAGGATAGTTCGAATTGATGGAACGACCCTATTGAAAAAGAGAAATAATATGGGTAGGGTTGGAATGATGGCACAACCCTACGCAAATCAGATTTGAGGAGTCACCGGAAAGACGAATGGAACTATGCAAATCAAATCTGAGAAGTCACTGAAAAGACACATGATGCTATGCAACTCAGATATGAGAAAATAGTTCGGAAAAATCCATGGTACTACACAAATTAAATATGAAAAGTAGTCCGGAGAGATGCACGGTGCTACGCAAATTAGATATGCAAAAAAAAGGTAGTCACCGGAAGGATGTCACGGTGCTACACAAATTATATATGAAAAAAGTAGTCACTGGAATGATGGCACAGTGCTACACAAAAAAGTAGACACCAGAATGATGGCACGGTGCTACAAAAATTAAATATGAAAAAGTAGTCACCGGAATGATGGCACGGTGCTACACAAATTAGATATAAGAAAGTAGTCACCGGAATGATGGCATGGTGCTACACAAATTAGATGTGAGAAAATAGTCACCAGATAGATACACGGTAACCCAACTTTTGCTAACATAATCATTGGCCAGACGGGCAGCATAAATGGGTGCCACCCGCCGGCAGCGGAAGCTCTTTAATTCTCTACCAAGATCGTAGAGGCTCTGATACCATGTTAAAATAGGTCTTAGGCTTAACTCACACCCCAAAAGCTAGCTTAAAGGGTGGAGGATTTCCCAAGCCTTATAAGGAGTCCACCCATCTCATTAACCACCGATGTGGGACTTTTGTCATTCTTTAACAGACACTATGATTAATTGTCTATGTTTAAGCCATGACATTATCTCTATCCATTAAATTATATCACCTTATGTGTGATCTTAGTTTCTAACTTGTACACTTACTCATGTGTGGTACACCTACTCATGTGTGGTTTATTCTTCATATTTGTGATGTAGATGCATTTTAAGAAAGGCTCGTCAGTGCGACATAGAGTAGGAGAGTTTACTAACTTGTACACCTACTCATGTTGTCCTTTTGTTATGCTATGTTCCTATATAAACTGGATGTATTTTGAATATAATATCCTTTTATTCTGGTATATTCCTATATATTGCATCTAAATTGGATCTTGCCTCTTTTTGGAATAGGATTCCTTGCATTTTTCATTTGCTATTGATATGCATAGCCCTGCAAATTTCAATTTTTATCTCTGGTGATTCATTAGCTGTTATAAGCTTGTCACTTTAGCACTCTTGTCAAGAAAAAGAATTGTTAAAATCAAGAACTTGTCAAGATTTGATCAGAAGTCGATTATAATGCTGTGAGCCCTTTCCTTTCTCCCAAGCAAATCATATATACAGGAAAACCTAATCGATTGGTACAATCTAAGTTGATACCGCCAAATTGAACAAAAAGGGTTAAAGATTTTCAAGATAGTTGTAAAGATTATTATACACAATCGAATTTAACAAATATGTAATCTACGTATGTCGATATAGCATGAAACAAGAATATAAAGAAGATCATGCCATACAACATGAAATGAGAATATAGAGAAGATCATACATGTTGTTGTTGCTTTGTTGTAGAACGTTAATTCAATGAGTCAGATCGTATCTGAGGATCTTTGTTGTAAAACGTTAATTCAATGAATCAAACCGTATCTGAATCCCTTATGCCACTCAGATAGGGCTTCAAACATTGAAGATATTTCTTTTCTCCCAAGCAAATCATATATACAGGAAAACCTAATCGATTGGTACAAGCTAAGTTGATGCCGCCAAATTGAACAAAAAAGTGTAAAGATTTTCAAGATAGTTGTAAAGATTATTATAAACACGACGACACAATCGGATTTAACAAATATGTACGTATGTCAATATAGCATGAAACAAGAATATAAACAAGATCATACCTGTTTGTTGTTGTTTTGTTGTAGAACGTTAATTCACTGAATTGAAATCAGATCTGAGGAGGATAGGAATTGAAAAGAGATGGCTGAAGTTGTTCTTCTTCATCTATCTCAATTCCCTATGCTACTTAGATATGGTATCAATCCTTGAAATTATTTTTCGTTTCTCTACATATCAAATTTACCTAACTTTGAAATTCTTGATACACTATTCTATATATACACAGAGAGAAGTAGGTAGCGCCAAAATTTGAAACAGCAAAAACGGGTATAATAAGTTTTTCTTTATGGGCACCAACGGTGAGTTCCCCAACTGAGACATTGCGATATCAGAATTGACAACAAATTCGTCTCAACTGAGAAATGGTGGAAGCGATTTGGAGGAATTGGGGAAAATTGTGTACAGCTAGTGAAGACGACTAAAAATTGATAAAGATGGCCCCTTATCTTTCGGATTAAATCTAAAATAGTCCTTTAACTAATTTTATTTCTTTTAATTTGTCAAAAATAGTATTGACACTGCATTTTTATATGATGATTTTTGCTATTTTTGATACCCCTCTATTCAACAGTATTAAATTGTTATCGAGATTAATAAATAGTAAATAATAGAGATGATTTATCAAATAACACCCTTATAAAATATAAATCATTCAAATATTAAAAAATATTAAGTAATTTTTAACAGTAAGGATAAAATAGATATAACATAGTAAATTATGCATTGATTTTATTAACAACGGAAAAGGGTCAAAACTGCCCTTTAACTATTCGAAATAGAGCAAATATACCCTTCAACTATATTTTGGCTCAAAAGTACCCTTCTCATCTTACTATTGGATCACTTCTACCCTTCCTTTTAACGGAGTAAGATGTGACATCCAATGTGTAAATTATAATGCAACATAAACGTCCACCTAATTAAGCAGATCCATCCCCACCCGTTAAAAGCCTAGGAAATTGAGCACTCGTGTCAAAACGTTCATTATCATAGCGGAACCCCACTGTCTCCGGCGAACGAGACTGAACAATATTGAAGTTATAAGTTATAACCATTAATTATCTCATCTGAATAACGGATCTCCCTTGTCACCAGAGATGTTGACAGAACACTGGTGGTAAAATCGTTATTTCTTTCATCCGGATAACGGATGTCCATTGTCGCTGACGATTGAGAAGGCATAAAGCTGCCAGAATCAAGTAGATAGTTTGAAAAATTATAGTACCTTGGCATTTCTAGCAAGATCCCCAAAACGGCACCGTCAGAGAACAACATGGTGACGGTAACAGGATCCGTCAGGTTGTGAGAACAAAGCTATATTAGAAGCCACAAAAATGAAAACAGAAGTCGAACTTAACAACTTTGGCCGTTTGATGATTAACGCATTAATAACAACAATAATCGTCTTCTCCTTAATGCTCTGATTGTGTGATCAAGAAGAGATCGATGGTCCAATAAACCCTCGATTCCATGAACAATGAGATGATTGTTCACTAAAGGTCAGGTTGTTGATTTTAGCAAACCCAATTGAATTCTTTGTCGAAGAAATTCATACTTCTCCAATAGAGCTTTTGAAGAAAAAATTTTTGTTGTTATTGAACAGATTTGGACAATCTTAGCGCTATCGATATTGGATAAAAGGTTGACCCAAGTGAGAAAAGTTTTGAGAGAGTGGTAACGGGGAGAAGAGAGGAAGGGCGTGGCGGGGATGGGCAAATCTTGGAGGAGAAAATAAAGTCTGGTGCGGCCAAAATATTACCGGAGAAATTATTATTTATGGAGTCCATGGTGAAAATGAAGGGGAAGGTTGGATCATTTAGTGGGGTGGGGTGGGTGTGCTTAGGTGGATGTTTATATGGCATTATAATTTATACATTGAATGCCACATCTTATTCCATTAAATGAAAAGGTAGAAATATTCTGGAATATCCCAAAAGTTTAATGGACAAATAAAGATGGACGAAGGAATTAATATTTACAAACATCACTATCACCTCCATTTACTAACATGCCTATGATGTGGCAGGTCAGAGTGGTACGTGACATTCAATTCACTTTAAAGTTGTTATGAAATATTTAAAGATTCATAATTAAAGTGTTAAAGTAAATTTTACTGTCGTAGGATGAATTTAACGTATATAGATAATTCCTGATTCCACCCACTCTTTAAAATGCATGTAAAAATAGTTACTTCGTACTCACTTTTAAAATTTAGATATCTAATATTTTTTTAAATATAAAGAATTAAAAGAATGAGAATTACGAGCCTGCCTGGAATTTTAGAGCGGTGAAGAGATTTTTTTAAAAAAAAAAGAGGTGCCAAAGGCTGAAAACTGGCGGGAAAGGATATTTTATTTTGTTTTTTTTAGTTTTAATTTCATGATTACATGTTTTTTTTTCCTTTAATTTTTTAGCATATTAAAATAGATATTTTACAGGTACTTAATATTTTTCGGAGAAATTTAAAGACTATTTATGTATTTTTATTTAAAAATAAATACTCCTCTCTTCCTATCTCTCCCTCTTTCCCCCAAATTCATCAGAACCCTAATTTCATCGATTCACCGGCAACACACCATTTTCCTCTATCGATCAGTACGATTCCTCCTCCGTTACAGGTATGGTATGCTTATGATCGGTGTTATTTCGTTTAATTCATTATTTTTTCTGTTAGCGTCTCAGCTGATTGTAGATAACTGAACAGGAGATTGACGATGGAATCATCTTCGTCTGTCATAACGCCAGAAGATGTAATGGGGACACTCATGAACGATGGAACAATTGATTCCATGAGGTTGAAAATCATTACTCAGCTCAAAGCTAATGTATGGTTTGCTTTCACCTACCCACAATTACCTACTTTTTATTCAAGCATATGTTTTCCTACTAATGTTTATCTAATATTATAAGTCGGTGTGTGCCGAGTACTATGAAACCCGTAACTCTTTTGTTATATGATTCCAGAATTTGAGTGTATGTTTATTTATTATGCCTTTAGTAGAAATATGTATATCGAAAAAAAGATTTCTCTCTTTAAGCACGCAGACTTTGTATGTGAGGGTATACACATTGCCTGAACATGCATCAGCCCCTTCTTGTTATTACACTGATAATCCATTTCTATTGTCATGTAGGAAGAACTCAAGAATACCACCATAAAGATGGTTGAGCAAAGCAGGGTTCTGAACACACCTGGTGCAGAAAAGCAGACCAAAAGGGAGCTCTTTGATGCATTGCGACAAGAACTTGAGTATGTTTGTTATTTGTTCTGGTTTGCTTCTGCATTATCTCAAGAAAGTTCAATTTGACAGCATGAAATATAATTGAAAGAATAAGTTTTTGAAAAAGGAGAGTTACTAAATAAGAATTTTCCTCTAAATAGGAGATACCATATATTGTGCAAGAAAGAAAGAAAACTCTATACTATTAACCTTAACAAATCGAAAGAATTCAAAACATTCTAACACTGAATTTCTGCATAAATTCTTGACTTTCACTAGGGCCCTGAAATTGAGTTTGTCAACCTAAATTGAAAAGTCAAGTGAAGCATGTTGAAAGAACTTACAGTTTGATGACTTATCAGTACCACTGACGATTCTCTCGACTTTCAGTACATTTGCTCACATAAAAATTTGGTTCTTTGACTGGTGTGCATAATCATCTCAGAATACTGAATTGAAATACAATTGAGGTGCGCGAAAGTTGGCCCCGACATTACGGTCATCAAAAAATAAAATAAAATACTGAATTGAAATACATTGGGGGAATTATTATTTTGTCTTATTATACTTGTAAAAGTGGTCCATACAGTAAATTTAGTATTTTGTTTTGCTTGCACTATTTTGGTTGAGATATTCCTCAAGTGCGGAGTAATGAAACATTATCGACCCAAATAGAGCATTTATCATATTAAGGATTCATTCACCTGACCTCAGCTTGCTTGAGATTGAGACAGTTGTTATAATACACTATTTTGGTAGAAGGTCAGACATATCTCTGACGGTACATGTGAATGTGGGTTTTGGGTGCATTAAACATATAGGAAGAGTAAAAAGGCATTTCAAGGAAGTCCCTTGACCTTGTGCTACATCTCAGCAAGCGTTTGATTGGTATGGAAGTTTTTACAAAGGTTTTCAGGATCTTGATATTAGACATTTGTTGTTGGAGATGCCGATGCTTTATAATTAGAGCTTGAAAATTATGTGATCTTAATCAACGTTGTTCATTTATAGTGTATATTTGGTAGATAACTGAATCTTGTCCAATATCCAAGTTAGTCAGATTTAATCCGCTCCTGTACTTTCACCAGGACTTGGAGATGCTCATTGCTCCTGCACACCCTGCTTAGGATGCGATGATGCTGAAAATTTCACGTGCTGGCCACTGTTCTTAATTTATTCTAGAATTATATTCCCACAAAATCTCACCTACATCATCTCATTTAAGAATTGACAAATTTTCAGCTGCATAAAATCAGAGTGTCAATGCTTTTTCCTATTTTAAACGCTTCAGACCTTGCTGGCTGAACTCAAACCAAAAATAAGTACAGTGATAAGTGCTCACCTTATGAAATTGTCTCTTATTTTTTTGGTTGCCAATAATTTGGTTTTTATTCTCTGCTTGCCCAATTTTTCCTGTAGGACTTCAGTGCTTGAGAAAGCCTCCAAATCGGTTTGGGAACTTATTTTGGATAATAAAGGGATAGGGAAGGAAATAAGTGAAACAGTTGAACAAGTTTTCTGTCGGTTGAGTGGAAGAGAAGCACCATTATTTGTGTCGGATTTCGGACCTCAACCAGAGAAAGGGAAAGAGAAAAAGAGTGGGCAGAAAGAGGAAAACAGTGAAACTGGGAAAGATAATTCTGAATCTGCAGCAAAGAAGAGAAAGATGAACACAGAAGAAGAGTTTGATGAAGCTGTCTGCAAATCTAGTGACAAATCGCCCTCATCGGATGATTCTAGTAAAATGCCGCCACCAAGTGTGAGAAGTCAATCCACTTCCTGAATCAACTCCATTGTGTCTTATCCAGCTTTTAGCGAGGGTATTCTTTTCTCCCTGCCCTCTTGTTTGTTCGTAGATAGAATCTTTTTCACATATACTGGATCGACATAGTTAATACTAAAAAGTTATAACTTATCCCTAGGTGTTAGCTTCTTTGAAATCTATGTAGCTGTATCATTTACTCCTGAGCTTCCAGAATGAGCATTGCTTTATTTATTTCTTGTCCCAATTGGAAGTAGAATAAGTTTTATAGTGGTATTGAATTAATCTCTCTTGTTTTCTTTCCTAAAGAATTTCATGATATAATTTGGAGTATAGTTTTGAATTCCTATAAATTAGAAAGAAAAAGTTAGATATGTATCTTCAAATATTTTATCACATCAAATTATTTAGTCAATGAAAGTAATTCAAAATTTTCTTATTCAGTTGTCGTTCTCTTGTGAAGTAAGGTTCAATAGATGGGTTTAATTTTATACTAAGTTGCTTGGACTCTCCAAAATTGTTGGTACTGTCCAAATTTAGCTTCAAACTGTCCATCTTCCACCCCTAGTCAAAACATATTTAGATGAGTGATGAAAATGTATTTCCTAAAAGATCGAATGTTTAACGAAGAGGGATTAGGCATAGATGTGTTGGGCAGGATATTTTTTTCTTGGTTGTTAAACCAAAGCTTTTGTTGATAGCAAGTAGAAGTTACATAATAGAGGCTGAACACGAGGTTAAAAGTAGTACAGTACAAAGAAAAGGAAAGTAAAAGTCGGAGAGTTATTTAGCAGCAATGAGCATTGTCTTCAGAAGAGGTCAGGACCTTGCCAAAACATCAGCCACATTATTGCTCTCTCTTTGAATGTTGCTAATGTGTTGTATTGCAGCTCCTCGTTAGCTGGTGAAGGAGTACATGATAATCTGTTTCAATTAGCGCAACTTTTTCACAGTAGCAAGTTGATGTCCAAGCATTAGCGCATATAGTTCAACATATATTACCATAGTGTGATATTGTGATTGCATGTATCCAACAACTGAATGCCCACTATGATCGTGAATACCACCAGTAGCCTCACCTCTGAGTGAGTGAGTGAATGTAGGTGCTTTGCGTTTTGGTTTTTGTTCGAGAGGGAAAAAAGAAGACAGTAAAATGCAGAAATTTCAAATATGTGTGTAAAGAAGAGGAAAGCAGCCAACTTGGATTGTTTTTAGTCTTGTTTATACAGCCATTTCAGTATAAATTCCTATACATGTTGAATGAAAATCTGAATTTCTATCCATATATTTGTTTTTCCATCCTTCCTTCCGCCGTGGAATTTGCAACATTGAGTGCGTGTGTTACCTCTTTGTATGGTCTTGACTAACTCTTTTCTCATAAGTTAACTTTTTTGAGGTTGAGTTGGAGAATGTTTTTGGGGGCATTTGCCCAAATGGCCAGACACTGAAAATTTTATCTGCCAGCAAGAAAAAAGGGAAAAATCATCCAAATAATTTGAAGTTCGAAATTTAGGCATTGAGCTCACAGTAATAGGAAAGAGTGACCTCAAAAAAGGGCCATATTATGCATACAATCCAATTTTTGATGGCAGCATATTCATGGATTTAATCAACGATGATAACTTGGTTGATACATGGTCCAAAGCAAATATAGTATATTTCCCCTACTATGCCTAAAATTATTAGTATGAATATATTAAAATTAAATGCGATTTCTCACTTGGAATACTCGCAAACCGTTAGTTTAGAGTTGAAACGTACGGCTATCTTTCTTTAATAGCAACATGGTGAATTTAATTGTTGAGAGACATATGGGTGTATTTCGTAAGAAGAAAAATATTTTCTACGAGAATTGATTTTCATATGGGTGTTTAAATCTTGTTATAAATTAATTATAGGTAGAATGTAGTAAAATATAATAGTATATTAATTTTAAATATTGTTACGTGAAAAATTAAAACTAAAGGGTTCTCACTTATTTTTACGGATAAACATGAATAACTCGATTCCTAAGTAAGCCGATGGCTCACGGGTTGAGTCTCCTTCCCCCGGTCCCGCACACAGAACCGAAACCCAAAACCGCAAATTTTATTTACCGGTTTTTTACCCCATAAGCGGTTTTCCCGTAAACCGGGAGCGCTTTAACGTGGGGACACTAAAATGGTCCACATTTCTCCAGGATATGTGGCGATTCGACCGCACTCTGACATTTTCACGTGATATCCACGCGCTTTTCATCCTTCCAATATATTTTGTTGTCACTTGCATGGCACCAAAGCCCAATGCTCCCCATCTCATCTCCACCTGTCTTTTCCTATTTCTCCATTCGGAAAATATAAATGGCAAGACACCAATTTGTCACGAAATGGCACGAGGAACAAAAATGTTGTTTATTTCGAAATTTGTGTGAGAAGTTGAGGGTGATTGGGTAATTTCAATAATTTCTTGTACCCAAATTACCCTCAAAAGTAAAATTACTATTCTTAAAAAGTAAAACCACTTTTCAGTCACACTTTCCAAGAGGTGGCTGACCATTGGCTCTACTTATATTGTGCCACGTGGAAAATGTTGGGTCCCATTTCAGAAAATGATTTTCTCGCTCTTCTTGAACGTTTTTTTTCCTCTTTCCTACTTTTTATCTACTTCTTTTTCTTTGACTTTTCTTTTCAAATTAATGTTTCAAATTTCTCTACTTCCATAGTTGTATAATTTTATTCATGGAAAATATAAAAATATGAAATCCAAAAAGAAAATATTCGTTCAATTTCTAACATTTTAAATTAATTATTTATATTACTAAAAATAGTTAGATAAAATTATTTGTTAATTTACAAAATATAATTAATTACAATTTTTTTATTATAACATTTTTCTTCTTTTTGTAAGTGTAAATAAAATTTATAAATTTTAAAAATTAAATGTAAATTAGTAAAGCAATCATTTTATTTATAATTTCTTACGAAATTTGTAAAAAAAAAATAGCATAAATTTTGATACTAATTTCAAAAAGAAAATATAACGGAAAGAGCATCAATGTTTTTGATAAATAATTACATAAGTTTTTATACTAATTTCATGAACTTAAAAAAACGGAAAGCATCCATAAATATCTATATAAATACATATTCTTTCCGTCAATTTATACGATATTTTATTCTTGATATTCAAGCTAGGTGAAATTTTTCATCACTTTAACCTTTTTTATTTTTCTTGCTATTTAATTTTTGTGGACTTCTCAAAAATATACGATACGATAAAATTTTTATAAGGTACATCTATATAGGATCCTTCAAAAAAAAATAAAATTACACATTATCTAAGAATTTAATCATTTTAAAGAAATATGATAAATTATTTTCAATGATTTTATTATTTAACAACGATATATTAAGATGTCTTGTTAATATTTGATTTAAATAAAAATAATCAATAAAATTACGAGTCATATCAACAAGAAAAAGCACTATCAACATTATCAAAATTAAACTAAAAATTAAACTACAAAGTAAATGCAATAAAATTTGATTATTATAAAGAGAAACACATGAATACTAACAAAGAGAACAATTTTTTTTTTCTGTTTTGAAGAGGGTTATACGTAAAATCATTACGGACCATTTATTAATAAAATAATAGAATATAAAAATTTATCCTAAAAAATCAATGTCTATTAGTACTTAAATAATTTTTAATTTTATATTACTTTGTGGTAAATATGATTGTAAAAGTTTATATTTGAATTGTTTCACAAAAATTAAGATTTTTCACTATTATAAGTCGAATCATTATGATGAAATAAATGTAATAGATATAGTATTATATGAGTTATGCTCTCTCACAAATACAAGTCAGTTGAATGCGATTATATAAGCATGATCAATACCGGATAATACAATTAGTTATGGTACATGTCAATTTTTGATCAATTTATCTTCGCGTATTATGGGTTATTAGAGTATATTTATTGATAATATCACATTTTAAATTTTCTAGTGATATCCATTAAACAATTGATATGAAAGAGAGTCAATAAATTTCCTTTCGTAATTATGAACGAATGATATTGCAACACGAATGGTTAAAGCTTAAACGAATAGTCTATAGGCCACGAGTTCGAATCTAGGTTATGTTCCAATTTTAGGTCTTTTAAAATAATTAGACTATTTGAAACTTTTATGATTTAAATAATTTTAAAATTCATTTTATTTGGTAAATAAGATTGTAAAAGTTTATATTTGATTGTTTCACAAAAATTGAAGATTTTTCATTATTATAAGTCGAATCATTATGATGAAAATAAATGTAATGGATATAGTATTACATGAGTTATGCTATCTCACAAATACAAGTTATTTGAATGCGATTATATATGCATGATCAAGTTTTAATTGGGTAATACAATTAATTATGGTACATGTCAACCTTTGATCAAATTATCTTCACATTTAATAGTTATTAGACTATATTTATTGACAATATCTCATTTTAAATTTACTAGTGATATTCAATAAACAACTACTATGAAAGAGAGTATATACATTTCCTTTCGTAATTATGAATGAATGCTATTGCAGCGCAAATAGTTAAAACTTAAACGAATAGTCTATATGTCATATAAGTTTAGGTCCCCAATTTTAGGTATTTTTTAGTTTTTTTTTTTTAAGTCTATAGGTCACGAGATTTTTTTAATTTTTTTTTTTCAAGCCTATCGTATGCACCATCAAAATCTTCATGATTTTGGGACAACAAACTATCATCCTCATCTAAACCCAAAACATTATTCAATACGTCGTTTAATTGACTATTTGGATCCATCTTATTAAAATTATATAAATCTAACAACAAAAATAAAATAAAACTAATGAGTGAAGTAAAGAAAAAAAAATGAGTAAAGTAAGAGAGAGAAAAAATAAGAAAGAAAAAGTCAAAGAGTGGTTTTGTATTTTGGAGGGAAACCCACAAGTGGTTTTGTCACCTAAGGGCTATTTGGTCATTACGTCGTGTCTTGCCAATTCATGCCACAAAAGTGTCTTGCCATTTAGCACTACTCTTCTCCATTTGCCCATTTTTAAGCTTCTCTGCTTCAATTCATTGCTCATATAAAGTAAAGGCAACTGCTTTTGGACCATTTGTACAAACAAAACACCACATTTTAGACTACTTAAACCATGCATGTCTGTTAATGACTTACCAATAAGATTGTCAAGTAAACTATAGTGATTGGGGTGTGAAAGGCACGTAACTAGAACGAGAGTGGGTAATAACATTGCAACAATATAATTTTATACTATATGATGATTTTAATTTAATATAATATGATTTTATTTTATTTTTATATACAAATAAGGTGGCTGTGCATCCCCCTTATTCCAAGAATGTGGAAAACTGGTTTCCAATGAAAACGTATACTGCTATTCTTCCTTTTTGAGGCAAACCACTGCGCCTCTAGTAATCTCACATAAGTAATTAATAAAAACCCAGGGACTTTTATATATATAAGTCTCATGATTTCTAACTCATAAATTATATAATCTTTCTCTTCTCTCTATACTTACCAAAATTATTGACAAATTAAAAATGCGTATGAGTTGCAATGGTTGTAGAGTTCTTCGTAAAGGCTGCAGCAAAAGTTGTAGCATTAGGCCTTGTCTTCAATGGATCAAAACCCCTGATTCTCAGTCCAACGCCACTGTTTTCCTTGCTAAGTTTTACGGCCGTGCTGGTCTTATGAATCTTATTAACGCTGGCCCTGATCATCTTCGTCCTGGTAAACTCAATTTCAATTGTATTATTCAAGTGCATGTATAGGTTATATGTACAATTTTAATTTGTATTGACATTTTTTTTAAAAAATTGCAGCGATATTTAGGTCATTGCTTTATGAGGCTTGTGGAAGAATAGTGAACCCGATTTATGGATCGGTAGGGTTGTTATGGTCAGGGAATTGGCAGCTTTGTCAAAATGCTGTGGAGGCGGTACTGAAAGGAACTCCAATTACTCCCATAGCTTCTGAAATTGCTGTAAACAACAACGGTCCTCCTTTGAAATTGCCTTACGACATTAGGCATATTAACAAAGATGAAAACTCTACCAAGTCCAGCGAGCTTCATCGGGTCAGGACCCGATGTCGATTCAAGCGCTCAGGTGCTAACACAAAAGCGACAAAATCGAATCCTGTATGTTCCGGGTCGGGTGATGAATTCGCCCATGAGAAAGTTAACGGGTCTACGAGCCATGAGTCTTCATTGAGTCACCAGTCTGAAGAAGAAGCGGCGGCGGCGGTGGCTCTGAATGTGGAATGCGAAAGCCCGGAAATGGCTGAAGTAGAAGATTCAGCTAAAGCGGACGGTGAAGTCGAATTGGAACTGACTTTAGGTTTTTCGTCTTTAGGAACTGTTGAGGGTAAACCGAAGGAAACTAAACGGAATAAAGGTGTTCAGTTGGTGGACGGCGCCGGAGAATGTAAAATAGAGCTTGGACTTCATTGATTAGTTTAATACTAGTAGTTCATTTTTCTTTGTTTACTTTTTTGCCCTCTACATTAGTACAAATATCAAGTTATATAGTAGCAGAAGAAATTTTTTATTTCAAATATATAATTGTTAAGAGTAAGCTTGTTAATTACTAATTATTAAAGTTATGGAGGATACAAATTCATTAACTTATAATTACTCTTAATAAATAGTTTATCATCATGTTGAATTGGTTAAAAATATTTGTGAATGGAAAAGTGGAAGTAAGTGAAGAAGGATGCAAAACCTCTATCATATATATACTCTGTTAAACCAAAAGAATTGGAAAAGGTGGTAACATAATCAAAGAAGTGGCTACCAAAATTATAAGTAATGCTTATTAGTCCTTGTCAATTGCCTTACCAGAATGTTAATCCTAATCGAGCTCAGCTGATCAATATGGAACAACAGCCTTACCAGCAAATGAGTAGGTTCCTAACCACTATTGAGGCATTATTTGTACCATAAATATAATGTAGTGTTTCAGCATGTTTAGATGGTTCCAGAGGAATTTAAGATGTTGCATTATATGAAAGCTTTCTGGCTTTGGTGAAAAGTTACAGATTCTGGTTGGTTAGATCAGAGCACCATGGATTCTAGAAAGCCAGTTACGACATTTTGTTCGTCTTTACAACATAGTACTGCCTTTTGGCGAGTGTAGATCAGGCATTGCTGTATTGTGTTCTTTGCTGCATTCCTGGCATGAATACTCAAGCTTCATATTTGTTGGCAACCTTTATCATAATATATACTCGACGTTCATATGCATTGACTCTTTGTTTCAATAGTCAATTTGAAAATTTTCATTACTAAATTTAAATTCAAATCTACATGAAATCTACTCTAAGCTGCAATATTACTCATATCTAAATAGGGAAAGTGAGCATGCCTTTTTGTTATAAAAAACAATACTCTCTATGTCCCTAATTACTTGTTCATTTTGACAAATTAAGAAATGACAATTTTTTTACCTATTATACCCTAAATTAATTACTTTTAAAAAAGTAGATCTTCTAGAAGAAAATCTTAAGTTTTTAATTTATCCACCTCATAATTAATAGAGATAAAATAGTAAATTCATTATGTCAATTATTATTTTCTTAATAAGTGTGTCAATTCAAAAGTAAACAAGTTAGAGACAGAGAGAGCGCTACTCTAAAACTAGCAAAACTAGCTGTAGACAGTGTGGCTCCCTCAATTTTCTCTAATCAGCTCAGCCCATTGGGCTATGTACTGGTTGGGCCAAAAAGATTATAACAGTTGGGCAAGGTTAATATTAATTGGGGTAAATCACATAAATATGTTATATTAAATTTTTTTTTTACCATCTATGGCAATACAATTTTTCTAACTAAATATAACACTTTTTTGGAATTAAGAAAATTATACAGTGGCTTGCCTCTTTCTCTGCCCTTTTTCCTCTTCCTCCTCTTTTTTTTTATTCTTCTTCTTCTTCGTTTCTTTCTTTGCCATTATTTATCTTCCTCTTCTTCTTTCTTTTTTTTTTTTTTTTAAAAATCGTCTTCTTCTTTGAAATTTTCATTTAAATAACTACCCTCAAATCAATTTTTGTCCATACTTCATTATTTTTACCCAAAAATACGACGAAAAGAGGAATAGAAAGACGAAAATTTGTACAAAATCATGTTTTCAAACAGAGATTTCAAATCTCTAAAATTACAGCAACAAAAGTTCACCATTAATGGTCATTATAAAACTTTAAATTTTGAATTCATTATTTGAATTTTACGAAATTATGATTAATTTGGACATGGTGTTCCTACAAATAATTGAAAATGTTGTTTGGAGTTTATAGCTCAATTTTAAGAGGGTTTGGTTAAGTTTATAATTGATTTTAGGAGAACTATTAGATTGAAACTCGAAAAATGTAAAGTTTATGGAATTGTATCACAATTGTATTAAAGTTGTATTAGATATGTTTCATAATTGTATTTAAAATTGTATTAAAATCATGAACAATACATTTATAATACATATTACAAACTTCACTCCTTTTTTAATAATGTCAACCAAAATAACTTAAGTAACACACTCATAATACATTTATAATATAGGAACAATACATTTGTAATACGTATTGCAAACGTCGCTCTTTTTCTTAGTGATACAAATCAAAATAATTTATAAAATATATGTAATACATGTTTTATTCATGAATAGTACATTTATAATACATATTGCACACTTCACTTCTTTCTTAGTGCTACCAACAAGGATAATTTAGGTAACACACTAACAATACCTTTATAAGACATCCAGATTACATTTTTAATACATATTGCAACCGTCACTCATTTTCTTAGTGATAAATTAAAATAATTTATAAGACACATATAATATAAGTTTTATTCATGAGCAGTCCATTTATAATACATATTGCAACCATCACCCATTTTCTTAGTGATACAAATCAAAATAATTTATAAGACACATATAATATAAGTTTTATTCATGAACAATACATTTCTAATACATATTGCAAACTTTACTCTCTTCTTAGTGATACCAACCAAATGATTTAGGTAACACACTTATAATATATGCACACTACATTTTTAATACATATTGCAAACATCACTCATGTTCTTAGTGATACAAATCAAAATAATTTATAAGATACATATAATACATGTTTTATTCATGAATAATACAAGTTTAATTCAGTCTATAGATTATTGTCTTGTCTTTCGTTAGTTACGTTTTTTATTTATTCTTAATTTTCTCTTCTAATTCAACTTTAATATTGTGTAATACATTTTTAATGCAAATTTAATTCATTTTGTAGTTTATTATTTGTTACTATTAGATTACTTGTTTAATTCATTATTGATATAAGTTTAATTCACTCTATAGGTTATTATTTGGTATTTCATTAGTTACATTTTTTATCCATGCATAATTGTCTCTTCTAATTCAACTTTAGTATTTGTGTAATGCATTTTTAATACAAGTTAATTAATTGTACAGTTTATTGGTTGATTTGTTATGATTAAATTACTTGTTTAATTCATTACTGCTACAAGTTTTATTCAGTTTACAAATCACAAAATGCTCTTTCGTTTGCTACATTTCGCATGCATGTTTAATTCATTTCTAATTCAACTTTAATATATGTGTAATACATTTTTAATTCAAATTTAATTCATTTGGCAGTTTATTATGTTTCTTCATTTGTTATGATTAGATTACTTGTTTGCTCTTTCGTTTGCGATTAGTTTGGATAGGTTGTTCCTACAAATAATTGAAAATATTGTTTGGAGTTTATATCTCAATTTTAAGAAAGTTTGATTAAGTTTAATATTGATTTTAGGAGAAATATTAGATTGAAGCTCAAAAAGGATGAATTTTACGGAACTATATCGCGTTTGTATTAAAGTTGTATTGGATATGTTTCATACTTGTATTAAAATTGTATTAAAAGCATGAACAATACATCCTACATTTTTAATACATATTGCAAACTTCACTCCTTTTTTAATGATATCAACTAAAAATAATTTAGGTAACACACTTATAATACATGCACAATATATTTTTAATACATATTGCAACACCACTCACGTTCTTAGTGATACAAATCAAAAGTAATTTATAAGACACATATAATAATGTTTTATTCATGAATAATATAAGTTTAATTCAATTTATAGATCGTTGTCTTGTCTTTCGTTAGTTACGTTTTTCATTCATTCTTAACTCTCTCTTCTAATTCAACTTTCATATTGTGTAATACAATTTTAAAGCAATTTAATTTATTTAGCAATTTTTTGATTTATTTGTTACTATTGGATTATTTGTTTAATTCATTATTGATACAAGTTTAATTTATTCTATAGATCATTGTCTAGTCTTTCATTAGTTACGTTTTTCATTCATGATTAATTCTCTCTTCCAATGCAACTTTAATATTTGTTCAATACACTTTTAAATACAATTTTAAATCATTTTGCAATTTATTGGTTAATTTGTTACAATTGAATTACTTGTTAAATTCATTATTGATACAAATTCATTCAGTTTATAGATCATAGAATGTTCTTTCGTTTGCTAAATTTTGCATTCATGTTTAATTCTTTTCTAATTCAACTTTAATATGTGTGTAATACATTTTTAATTCAAGTTTAATTCATTTTGCAATTTATTATGTCTCTTCATTTGTTGCGATTAGATTATTTGTTTAGTTAATTAATTATGATACAAATTTTATTAATTCTACAGATCATTGACTACTCTACGAAAGAAAGTAGAGAGAGAAAGAAAGGAGAAAAAAGCAACAAAAAGAGACAGATAAAAAGCAACAATAAAAAGCAAGAAAAAAAAGCAACAAAAAGAAAGCAAGAAAGAAACAATCACAAAAAGAAAACAAGGGAGAAAGAACGACATAAAAAAGAAAGAGAAAGAGCGAGAATGAGAGATGAAAATTAAAAAGCTGAGAGAGAAAAAAGAGAAAGAGGCGAGAGAGAGAAAAATCTAATAAAATATATAGTATTGTTATATATTGCTATAAATGATAATAATTAAAGAGTATATTTAAAATAAGTAATTGTTTTTTAAAAGAGATTCACTCAAGTAATTAATCCTATTGGGAGGTTTTTTATACACTTTTTAGCTTTTCATTTTGCAAGTATTATGTTGAGAGTACTCTTGTTACTATTTGTTTTGGATTTCTAGAGTTTCCTGCATTCCCCTTCTTTCATTTCCATGTTTTGTCCTGCTGCTATGATAAACGATTCTAATATAATACTCTGTGTTGCACTATAATACCTTATCGCATACTTAAATTTTGATAGAATGACTTAAAATATCTCTATTGAAAATTGAACCTGAAACCTAATAGTGTACGTTCAATCCACTTTATTGACTATTAGGTCACACTCTTGGATGCACCTCCCTAGGAACATTATTATTATAAGCCTTTCCATGTCAATGAACACGTTATGTATATTTCTCTTCTTGTCCCTATATTACTCCAACACCTTGAAATTATATAAAATAATTACTATTGAGCTCAGACATGCACTTGTATCACAATTTAACT